AGGCGTGGGGAGGCGACGGGTCCTGCGCGCCCCGGCCACGCGGCTGCAAGGGGAGGCGAGGAGCGCTCCTGCCCATCCCTGAGACTGCGGCGTCCCCAGGGCGCCGGGCCAGGCAGGACTCGGGCTGCCGGTCAGGCCGTCGTCCCCCCACTTGGCCTTTCTCACGCAGCACCGACGCCTCGGTCCCGCACCTCGCTGGGGCTGCTCCGGGGTGTCTGCTCTTGGTGCCGCTGCTGCAGCGGCATGGTGCCAAGCTTGGGTGCCACCAGCCCAGGCTGCAACTTGTCCCGGTGCTTATGGCTGGCCTGAAGGTCGCTGCTCAGCCAGGGGCCGTGCCAGCTCACCAGCGGTTTCGCCCGGTTTTGTGTGTCAGTGGTGCCGTGCAGACCCTGCTGCCGATGGCGTGGGCCAGCCTGGACTTGGCGCCTGCCCCCGTTCGCCTGCCTTCGGGGTCAACAGGATTGTCCTCGTATCCAGCGTAAATCTCTCTCGTTTCGGTTCATACCGCTGTCCCTCGTCCGCCTGCCGTGCACCGCTGTGAAGAGCCTGGCTGCAGCTCCTTGGTGCCCTCCTCGGAGGTACATGGGTGCCCTCGGCATCCCCCGAGGCGCCTCGTCTCCGGAAACCGAAGCTGGTCTTCGCTTCTATCGGCCACACGTCGGTCTCACTTTCTTAATTTACAAATGTATGGTGTTCATCCTGTTAACAAACCAATCACAGCATGTTGAGTTTTAACAGACAAATAGCTCTAAGTAAGTGGCCATAATTTAAAATCGTAATTAGATACAGAGGAGGCAAAGGGGGCCTGCAAATAACTTTTTACTAGACGATCATTTCTGCACTTGTATCGATATGAATTCTAGATAGCTGCAACTGCAGCACATTACACTGAACAAATACCTACCGACTCAAGGGTGTCACTCCATTTATTGCATTGAAGTGATACCTGCTTCCAGGCAGATGCGCTTTTACTAGCTCCCGGTTCCCAGGTCTCTCTCAGAAACACTTCACTAGCTGCTTATGACGGCTCACCTGGGCCCCTGCGTGCCCCCACCCCGAAGCGCAACCGGCGGAGGCGCAAACACGAACCTGCGGCACCGGTTCAGCCTCCGGCCGAGCAGCCACGTCGCCGGGATGGGCCAGCGCTCTCCTCCGCTCGCGCCGAGCTCTGCCAGCAGCCGCTCCGCTACGGGGTCATAGCAAATAATCAGCACAACACTTTGCACGGACAAATACTAATACGGATTCCTTGGGCTATTACCGCGCACGTTTTTGTGCACTTACATGAGAACGAGACCGCTCACAATAGTTGCTCTGCTGAGTTAAAATCCGGCTCATCTCGTTTCCACGTAGGCCACATCCACCAGATCCTAGCGGCTGGTCCTCCAGATTACACAGGATCGATTGACTCTAGGGCAAACTCATATTCCCAATATTTGCACAATACAAACTCTGTGTTTTAAAGCAAGATTTCCTTCTTCAGGACTACTGACCTGGCCTTTATCCATGTCTTAAACAGGAAAAAAAAAAAAAAACCCAAAAACAAAAACCAACCAACCCTGCAAACCCAACTTAAATGGAGAAGAAATAAAACTGCCCTGTAACTACAGATTTAAGTCTCCAGCCTTTTTATTTATACAAGGATTCAAAGAACATATTTCAACTTTAGATAAACAGTGCAAGAGAGTTACAAGTACCTTGGTAACAGAAAGAAAGTTAACTGTCCAGCTATGCCAATAAGTGAAATAATTCTTATTCCTGCAGCTAGAAATGCATCTGTTTAAAGCAAAGGTGGACTTCAGATATTTCTTATACCGTAGCCCCTACCAAGCCCACCGGAAAACAACAGGCAGTTTGTCATTTGTAAATGCTAAGTAGCTGCGCTCTCAAAGCCTTGAACAACCCTCACCCTTAGGCAAAACATACACGTTATGGCACAAAAGAGCAGGCTGAAAGACAGAGACACTTGAAAAGCCATGATTTCTGGCTGCCCACGTCGCGGGGACGGGGGCTTTGTTCGTGTTCGTCGCCAGAGCGCGACCCCCCCCCAGCATCCCTTGACAGACTGAGGCTTTTCCAGCCCGAAACGCCGCAGGTCACCACCTGGGGCACACCGAAGCAACCGTTTCCTCCCCGCCCACCCTGCTCCCCTCGGAAGCGACCAGCCCAAAGCCAGTGGCGCTCCCCGGCCGCGGGACGCAGTCCCCGACAAGGGCCGTCCCCACCTCGGGGACGTTCGTCACAGTTCGGAGCGGGCACCGCGCGCCCCCCGGCACAGCGGGAAGGGGAGCCCCTGGGCGGCGTCCCCTGCGGGATGCTGATGGCTTTGTGTGACCCCCCCCGGAAGACGGAAACGGTCGACCTCAGGACCCCGAGGGACACCAGAGTGTGAGCACACAGCCAGCAACAAGGGGCAGGTACTTCTGCATAACAACCTTCTCTGGAGGCTTTTCCGTATTAACGTGGACTGTGAGGCTGTATTATTGCAAAAGGACCAATAGTGTGGACTGTTAGATGGCTAACACGTTAACTGGACCAACACCACATTCGTGGCTTCGCATTTAAGGTGTTTCCTTTGCGCCCCTAAGAAACTCCAAGTGTAACAGGCTGCCAGCTAACTTGCACTGAATGGAAAAGGAAACGGCAAAGACTTCCGAATCTTCCTGAAAAGCAAAACATTGACCTGGGTATTCAGTGCATACAGCCCCGATTTACACCCTCCCCCCCCCCCCCTTTTTTTTTTTTTTTTGCCGAGGGTACAATGTTTTAATGCCGTGCCCTCTCTCGCGTTTGCACGTACAGTTTCTGCAGGATGGGCTGTGGGCATTTACCCAACTGAAGGCTAATTTTTTATTGGCAATACTGGTTCAAAAAAACCAGACAGTATTTGTTTAGCCTAGTAAAAGTAACGTGGAATTTGATGTATTTCTAGAAGTAACCAGCCCTATCTACCGCCACGACCTGTGTGCCCCTGGCCCCGGGTTTCGACGGCTCTCGTAGCGCTGCCAACGCCTTAGCCGACCTCCAGCGCCTTGCAAGGATTTTCTGGCTCCCATTTTTGAAACCCTACTAAACTAGACCAGTGTTAACCCGACTAGAAGGGGAACATAAGTCAGAAAGGACACACACAGTCAGTCACTGCGACGTGAAGTAAGCACCCAGCCGAACCTGGCCGAGGCTCTCTGCCCGGGCTGAGGAGCCGCCACCTGCGCTCCCGGCCCCAGCAGGAAGCGGGGCAGCAGACCCCC